CTAAACGATGCAACCTGTAGTAATTGGTGTCTTGTCACTCCCATATTCACTTTCTCCTCGCCTCCGATACCTTTAAATAACATTAGTTGTGCCAGAAGATCGCTGTTGAACTGCGGAGCTGCAGGTGAGGGAGGAAACTCCGAAGTCCCCTGCAATTTCTGGCCATTGCCGACGCAGTGACGTAAAGTAAATATATTTCACGAGAGATTGCGGCTACGCCATTAATGAGAACCCTTGAGGGATGGAATAATTTCAGTATGCGGAGTGCCTAATGCACTCTTGCCTAAAGCTATCTCCCATGGATTTTCGCTTATATGTGAATTGATGGTGAATGTATTTGGGGTGTCTACCTTTTCCCTTCCAGGCCCTGTCGCCTGGTTTGACGTTACTTAACGCATGTTGGCGTCATTTGTTTGCGAATTATCACATCCGTATTATTCTGTTCCTTTTGAAAGGATATGCTAGGTACTTAGAAGAAGCGATTGGAAAAATGCAAGAGGAAGTTTTCTTGATTAGAACGGCAGAAACTGAATGATTTTGCTTCCTTTTTTTGTGCTCTTGCTAATCGATCTTTCTTTGACAACTTTTTGCGTCGCTGTTGGTTTGAGGCCTTTCCCGTCCGTAAGTGATTTCAGAGTTAGTTGTCGAATCGAGAGCTGATGTCATACACTGAGGTTTCAAGGATATAGTCGAGTGAGGTCCTCGTTGGCAGCTCTGTCAGTGACATCTGCAAAAAGGGCCGAAGAGAACCTTCATCGACTCCCCGGGAGGGGAAGGAATGGAACTGCTTGAGATGTCGAATCCACAACTCGCCTTTACTGTCATTGTGAAAGGATGTCAGTGCTGCCTGTTGGGCCTTTCCGTAGGTCGCCTGTGAAATACGAGGGATGTCCTGAAAGTTCTGGGAATTTTGCTCAGGGATTTAGGGAATTTTCAAAATTATAAGTCAACGGGATCGCGTAAACCAGTGAACGAAGCCGTGCTTGCATGTCTTACAACCCATGCAATTGTAGCTTATAACAATTTTCTGCTATTTTGCTTTGTTTCGGATTTTAAGATGTGCTTTTTTAAATTGCGGATGATGAGAAAAATTCACATCCTTCACGATATAATTTTATTATGAAGGGAAGGCGTAAGTTAATGTCAGCTGACTGTTCACCCGCGGACGTGATGTGATGTTGGCTATGTGTGGGCGACTGCTATGCTATAGGAACATTCCTGAAGGAAAAAAAAAACCTACTGGGAAAGTCTCTTACTTGTTCTAAAGTTCTTGGACATGGTAAGTGCCATTCCGGTGTATCCAATGCCTCAAGGTGATACAGCTACATGGCAAAGATATGCTTACATTTTGGGGAAGGAATTAATGCCTGCCCTGAAAAGAAAAGACCCGCCCTGTTGCATGAATGAGTGCTCCTACAGCATGAAACGCTCGCCCAGACACAGCCTACATCTCTGATCACAACTGCAATCGCCCCTGAATTGAGCTGGAAGTTAGTAACCTCCTTACTGTCTGGCCTTAGCCCCAGTGATTACTTCTTTTTTCCAAAACTCAGAGAACATCTCCCTGATCGCAGATTTCAGTGCCGTAGTGACTAGAAATCTTCGATTTACCAATATCTTAAATATCCGAAGTTGCTTATAATGATGCTATTCAGAAACTCATTCGCAGATGGAACAAGTTCATGCAAATCAAATGTGGCTATGTTGAGGAGACTTGTCGTGATGTTGTGTACTTCTAAAAAAAAGATAAACTATACATATTTGAGCATCCATCGTAAATCATAGACAAAGGGAAATCAGCTCCGACTGCGTGGAAGAAATGATGTAGGCGTATATCACTTGCTTCCCGGAGAAGAGATTCCTGCCGCGTTCATTCTCCTAAACCTTTCAGCTAAGATGACTGTGTAACGTGGTAAGGAAAGAATGGGAAAACTATATAGTGGTATTATATAGTGATGCTAAAAATATTTGATGAAATTTGAAGCAATAGATTATGTGCAACCTTTCGCGAAAGCTTCACCCTGATAGGAAATCCAGGCGATTGAACAAGGGGTCCATGGATTGGCTTGTTAGAGAGTACGGGACAAGACGGAAAAATGATGACTTTTCCCATCTGGACTGGTTAAATCGTTTCTAGACACGTGTAACTCCTAAACCCAGCATCTTATCGGCGTCTCATGGGCCATATGGTAATCTTCTCTCTGTGGGGATACAGAGAGATCCTTGGAGCCCTCCAGAATTGCTTTACTAAATGTGCATGATGTAACCAGGGATTGCCTCCATTAGACGGCTCAACCAGTATTATGACCTTGCGACCCGGCGGAGTGACCATCGACTCGAATAACGTTTGCTCTTCTCCCTTCAACCGCATCTCTTCGGCAATCTAATTAAGTTAGGCATTTGATGCGAACGCTAGATGAAGCTGGAAACGGGTGAGTTTCCTGGTGTGGACTCGTACGAGGCTCACTCAGAAAGTTTCTAGAACGAGAGAGTTCCTCGTGCTTTAGAATTATGAAACGCTGAAGTCCTTGAAAGGACTGTCCGTCATCTGCAATGCACGGCTGCATTCTATGAAAATGCCTTTCGAAACCCATTTTCCTCTCGACTGGAGTGACGGCTCCCTGATGCTCACGAAGAGCTCCAAGTGCTTGTTCTCTATGTAGAATTGTTTCCCTTTCGGACTGCCCTTCACCTTTGGAAACAAGGAATAAAACCTATGGGTGAGGGCGATTGAATGAATAGAGAGGCAGCAGCTAAACGTTTTCATCGGCCAGGAAATCACATGTGCATGCTGCAGTTTGTGCACTGACCGGCATTGTCATGGTGAAGGGGGATTCCAAGGAGGCCTTTCGTTGAACGACGCTAGCGTTCTACACAAATTTTTCGAAGACATCGTAATTTACCAGAGTTACCAAGAGAGCAGTTACAGCCCTCTGTTCCTCTGATGGAACAATATTCACTGCACCTGATTTTGAGAACATTGGAACCACTTTCTTCTCGGCACTCTGAATGCTGTCGTTCTTCGTCCTTGACTTTCTGGGAACACCCACGAAGTCGTTTTCCACCCTATCTTCTAGTCGTAATAATAAATCAAGGCTTCACTCGTCACAACCTGAGAAGGAGCCCTAGATTGCCCTTCAAACTCTCCATCATGAATTTGCATCAATCTACGCGGGCTTTGGGTTGGACCTCTGTCATGCCATCTTGCACCCAAGTAGAGGCACTTCTCACATGAAGGTGTTCATGTGAAATAGTTTAAACTTTTCTGGTCTAATGCCCAGACTCCGCTCTAACGCTTCGTGAAATAAATATCCGCCTATCTACCCTTATCAGAGACTCGACACGTGCATTGTTTTCTGGAGTGACGGCTGTCGACGGTCTTTCACTGCAAGGTTCGTCTTTCAAGCTGGCTCTCTGCCTCCGAAAGCCACCAAGTTAATTGTAAGCTGTGGCAGGTGACAGGGCAGGTCTTCCAAGTGCTTCGCCTAAACGGGCATGACATCCGGGCGCCGCTTGCACAGCTTTAAAACCGTACAAAAGCACGGCACCGGAATGCCGTCTGCCCGGCTCCACTGCTGTCTGCACTACACCCTTTGCACGCCTGCGAACATATCCCGCCTACTGGCTGCAAGCGTGCCTAAATAAGTTCGATAGGAGTAACACGTAAGAGAGCAATCTTCTTGTGGCCAAAAAAAGAAAATTGCTAGACTATGTCCACGCGACCCATTCTAAAAACTTTATGAATGACCCTAGTAAGCGTGGATGTGTGCGAGATTTCTGTTCCCCCAAAGAAACATATAAACATAAATCGGTGACTATCTCAAGTAGACGAGGATTGAGCCGCTATCTTTACCCCTTTGCCTCTTACCATTTATTAGGCCACTGCGGAAAATGTGCCGGTCAGTTGAGGCTAACCCAACGGTTATTGCCTTGCCTTTCCAAAATTAGCCTCCCCGTAGCCTGTAAATTAATATTTAATTGTGCTATCAATCCTTGAAGTGCCTCTCCGAATCGATGCTCATTTTTCTTCCCCCACTGCGCCTTAGCGAAAGCAGGAAGATTGGTTTCCTTATTGGCTTTCCTATTTAGATGCATGTGCATGATAGCTTATATTTGAAGAAAAAAAATTCTCGGGAGCTACGAGTTGAGTTTTTTTTCGGCGTAGTGGTTGGTCTATTACTGCAACAAGACAAAGAGGAGAGTCGCTTAAAATGCTCATTGATTTAGTCAAAATCATGGTGGAGTTTGTTTTCTTTCATAAAGAGTCTGGCACTGCCAGATATTCTCCGAAATGGAAAGTTGCGCAATGAGATTTGGGATTCAACTGGGATGATCTGGGACTGAATGGAAGGAGAGAGGAATTCTAAGGCGAGAATGGGCTACGCCCGAACTGGAGGCGAGATGGGTCTGCTTTATTTCATCCTCGTCCGCCTCCTCTTCTCTCTAACGGGATACAATCTTCTTTTCCCGGAAGACTGGGCGCCGGAAAATGATAGTGAAAACCTAGTTTTAATTGTATTTCTCTGGCTCTGTAATTGTTAGTAACTTCTTGCATCTCATTCGTATCTGCCACAATCCCAGGAGAGATTCTGTTGATCCACGCTGGAAACAAGGTGACTACGGAAAAATGTTGCCGCCGTTTGCACGCTCAGGCAAGTAGGCGGAGCAGACCTGCCAAGAGGGTAGAGTTAAATTGCAGGAGTTTTGCCTCGTGGATCGAAGATGGAGGGGGTAAATAGCGTTGAATCTGGGAGCGCCTGCCCTCGAGGAGACAGCCGGTCACTCAACTAAGTACGCGCGAAATGACTGTTGCCACGCTACTCGCCACTGTGGCGCCGCAGCGGATGTACTAAGAAACGCTTTAATCTGCTGATAATTGTGAACGAATGTACATTCGTTCACAATTATCAGCAGATTAAAGCGTTTCTTCTATAATAAAAAAAAACTTAAAAAAAAAAATTGAAATCGAATGCTAGCTATATGTCTGGGACAAAAGCCGAATGCGTGATAGGGTAATTCCATACGAACTCAACCAATATAAATATTTGATGGCGTCGACCATCTTGGATTTCGCGATAAAAATTATCAGTTGTTGCAGTCAATCTAACCACCCCGCCCCTTCGGATCAGGTTATCATCATCATCAGATCATCGCGGTTAGCGAGGTATCGATCGAGGTATCCCACCAGTAGAAAGGCCAATACCAACTTTCTACCCTGTAAAATAAATCTAGGTGTTACCTGCTTCAATACTATTAGACAGGGCCGGATCAAGAGGGGGGGGGGGGGGGCCAAGGGGGCTGTTGCCCCGGGCCCCACTCTTCCCGGGGGCCCCCGAAGGAAATTAAAAACGGACTCTTCCAGGGGGCCCCCGAAGGAAATTAAAAACGGTAAGTATTTGCGTGAAGTGGGGGGGGGGGGGGATAGGGGTTGTCCCGGGCCCCGCAACTTCTTAATCCGGCCCTGCTATTAGACATTAGGAGAGTATTCTCATTTTGATTCCTAAAATAAGAAATATTGCGTAATGCAATAATAATAGTTTGACCAGTTTGTCCAGGTGTGTTGTAGACTCTAGAGAAGCTAATTTCTGATATGAAACATTCTGAGATTGTTTTCACTGGAGTTAATTCTCATGGATTCTGATCGGAATACCCTTATCTTTTCACATGCAAATTTACTTGCTTTCCTTGTAGCATGGAGACTGAGTGAAGGTCCACAGTCTTGTACAGACTCAGCTGTCAGGACCACTGCTGGAAGCTGCCCTTCATCCTCATCTGACACTTTCCAGTCAACAAAAGGATCCATTGATCCTCAAGGTTGGGAATGAAAAAACATAATCCTGTACGAGGAATCTCCATTCGGCACGCAAATGCCCTTCATTTGGCATATTTCTTGACTTTTGCTTCCAGGTGATAAGAAGAGCGTGATTCAAACAATGCCTCCAGATGGAACAACATTTGCTCGAGTTTCACTTGGGGAGTTGTTGAAGAAACATTTACCTGGCTATGGCTATTGGAATCTTCAGTTCTTCATAATGGAGCCAGGGTATCTACGATTCAATTGGAGCATCCCTCGAGGAGCCAGCCTGGGGATCTATGCCAGACGAAATGCTCTTCCATCCCACACTCAATTCCATTTCTCCCGTGTGGTACAAGGATTCCGGAGTACCTCTGTTCCTCTCCGTTCCACTCGCTCCCTCCATTCTCCTGTTAGCTTCTTTTTTATTTATTGCATCATTCACTTTTGCTTTTGTGGTGGATAACTTGCAAGTAATTTGTCTGGCATACCTTCTTCACAGCCGCTGGTCGGAGTTGAATTTGTAGAATGGATGGACAGTGGTCATTGGTTCGTTTCCATTTACAATGATGATGGGGAGGAGGAGGAGGCTCATTTAGTCATATACCCAGCTGAGGAAATGAACTCAGCTTGTCCTCGAGGATGCTCACAGCATGGAGAATGTCTTCTTGGGAAATGTCAATGTCATCCAGGTTATGGTGGGGATGACTGTTCACAAGGTGGGTGCTCATTGTACCTGTACACAAAGACATTGGGAAATTGAATTAATGCTATTTGGAAGTTTGGGGTATATTGTCTATGGTTGTTGTGCTCATTGTACCTGTACACAAAGACATTGGGAAATTGAATTAATGCTATTTGGAAGTTTGGGGTATATTGTCTATGGTTGTTGTTAATGTTTTCAAATTTGGATTGGTATTGGTGGATATGCAATGTTCAGTGCTGGATTCCTCCATTGTGCCTCTTGCAGAGATGTGTCCAGAACTGTGCAGTGGGCATGGCGAATATGTTGGAGGTGAATGCATTTGCCACCCTGGTTGGAAAGGGAAAGAATGCCACTTGCAGCATCATGAATGTGAAGTTCCAGATTGCCATGGGCATGGCCAATGCATTGATGGCAAATGTATTTGCTCTCCTGGATTCAAAGGGGCTACATGTGAACAAGGTGAGTAACTGTTCAATATGCCAGGGAAGGGAATAAGTAATAAAAGAATGAAAAAGTACAATTCCACAACATTTCAGATATGTTGCTCCTTCTTTCTTTTTGAGTCCTGGCATTCTCAAAAATGCACATTTGAAATCCATCACTCCTACTTTGCAGTGGACTGTCCACATCCAACCTGCAGAGGTCGAGGCTTTTGCATGGATGGCCAGTGCATCTGTGAGAGAGGTTGGAAGGGCCCTGATTGTGGAGAAATGGACAGTCAGACTCTTCACTGCCTTCCTGATTGTTCCAGTCATGGGACTTTCTCTCCAGACACACTTCAATGTGTTTGTGATGAAGGCTGGACAGGCATTGGCTGTTCTCAAGGTAAGTGTCTGTTGATACTAAATTTTTTATATATTTTCTTTTCCTCCAATTTATTTTTTCTTACTGAGATATATAACTTTCCTCTTGTCAATAGAGACGTGCAAGGAAGACTGTGGGGAAAATGGAGAGTGTAAAGATGGAAAATGCATTTGTAAATTGGGATGGACCGGACCAACATGTCTGCAACGTCTATGTGATCCTCGCTGCACAGAACATGGCCAGTGCAAAAATGGCACTTGTATTTGTTCTCATGGCTGGAATGGAGCCCATTGCAGCCTGGAGGGATGCCCAAGCTCTTGTAGTGGTACAGGTAAAGGCAGATGTCTTAGAGGTGATTCTGAAGAGTGGAAGTGTGTCTGTAATCAAGGTTGGGCTGGGCCAGACTGCTCCATGTCACTTGAGTTGCATTGCTCCAACAATTTTGATGATGATCAAGGTAATTGTCTTTCCTAAAAAAATAAATCCTGAATCCTGTCATTGTCTTCTGCTGAATTATGATTGCTTTTGGTAGATGGATTGATTGACTGTGAAGATCCAGAGTGCTGTGATAATGAGGACTGCATTCGAAGTCAGTTGTGCATTCAGTCTGCTGATCCAAGAGAGATCTTGCTGAGAAAGCAACCACCTGCATCTACTGCTTCCTTTTTCCAACGCATGAAGTTCCTCATTGAAGATGGAAATATTCAGCGTTATGCTCGGGACTCTTCCTTTAATGAGAGGTGAATATCCAATGATTTTTTTAAGCTCTTTGTCCATTCTACTTCTGGCATGTCACTCAAGAACCTAATTTGCTAACAAGCTTCTCTCCTGCTTCAAAACAGAGGATAGAGGCTTGCAAAAATTTCCTTCTGCACTATACCTTCTTGCATTGCTTTCAAACTTAGGATCCTCTGGTAAAAAAAAAAAAAAATTACCTTGTTCTTGCAAAAATGATTTCACTGCATGTTCCTTGGTTTGATGGGAGTTAAGAGCTCAGGACTGTGGGAAAATTTCCCAGACACTTGATATATTTATCCCCGGTCAGCCTATCATAACTTTTTCCTCTTTGTTGTATCTCCACCAGTGGGATCCATAAGCTTAAAGTCAATGACAATTTGCAAAAAACTTTACAGCTTCAGTGAAAGGGTGTTTGATGCATAGTATTGCGAGTAGAATGTGGATTGAAGTGTTTAATGATGGGCATCATATCTGGTGTGATTTGAAAATAGGATCCTATGGTAAGAAGATCAATTGATTTGAACCATTTTCCATTGGAACCCTTGAGAATGGAGTCATATTCAATCATTGCCCAGTATGAAATCAACAAGATCACACTTGAGCATTAGAGGGAAATAGTGGCTTGTACAGGATTTTTATGGGGGGAGGGAGATGGGAAGAAAGTTGAGGAGTCAATGGGGAGGTGCTTGAGCTCCCTCAGCCCCTTGCATACTCCAATGGAGGGAACCCTACAAATATTTCAACATGAACTGGTTTAAATTCCAAGATGGCTCCAATCCAATTTCTATTGACATAGCTGGAACTAATCTGATCCAGCCATTTTCAATCAGAATATGAGTACTTATTGGAGACTCAAAGGAGATTTTTTTATCATGTTTGTCAATCTCAATTCTGGATTGTCTGAGAGGTGTTTTTGCTTGGCTATGATAACAGTATATTCTGCTACTGCAACAGCAGAGAATATTATTGATTTTCAATCTCAGAAGCAAAATTTGAGAGATAGCCACATAAAAGTTATGGAACCTCATGGTCATTTTCAAAGCTCATCCCTGACTGCATTATATCAAGAAATTCTTATTCAAAACAACCCACCTCTGATTTCAGATTGAGCAAGTACCTGGCTGGACCATGAGACTTGTATCTGGATCTGTAAAGAATTATCCACTTTGAAATTTCCTTGAGTTTGTTCTCATATGAAAAAAAGGATTGAGCATTTCTTTTGGACCATATTTTATACCAGTTAGAGAATTTTAGGATTTGTGCAGCAGTCCTGCATAGGAACATGCTACTGCAATTTGTGCAGTGGTATAGCAACAAAAAAAAGGAGAACACTTAGGATGGGTCATTAATGTCCTAGTGCATAATATTTTCTATATCTTGTTTCAAGAAGTCCTTTCACAAGGTCTTTGTTGAATGTGAGGAGATTCAATTTATGAAATGGCATAGGGGTGAATAATGCATTTTCAGCCCTGATGATGTGCTATTGGCTGCTATGTAAAAATCCAGATCCATCTGTAAATTCTCACATTTAATTTGATTTTAGAGTTGCTAATTAGTTGGTATTTTCATAACTTCATTGTGAAGAATGCTTGATACTGGTTTCTCCCTCAATAGATTGAGGCCTCTTATCTTCATGTGGGTCTGACTCTAGTGCATGCATGTTGAAAGAAGCAATTTCACTAATAATAACACTTCTCTGATGTGTCCTTTTTCCCCCCTGCCTCTCCACTGCAGTGACTTCTGGAATCACTTCTCAGAAAGGTAAGGGACTTGCCTGCAAAATGATATGAGTACTCTCCAAACTTTTATTCTAATTTCACCTTAGTTCTTTGCCTTTATTTTTCTATTAATTTATGTTTCATTTTATTTCCTTATGTTGTCGCTTTTCATTTTATCCTATTTTCTTCTTATGTTGATTTTTCAAGCTTTTTTTTATGCATCCCTGGCATGCTTTTATTTTTACAATTCCCTTTGGGAAAGGTGCTTTTCCCATATGAAAATCCATCATGAATGCTTTGCTTTCATGTTGTGAAATGAAAAGATGGTATTGATTTGGTCAAAAGCTGTTTGTCTAGCTAGAAATTTTCCAGTGGAATTTTATAAAGAGGACCCTATAGCTGGAATGTAGCTAAATTTACAGCTGAAAATCAGCTGTTCCTGTAGATGAACCTCTGACAAAAATAGTCAGCAAAAAGATTCTCATTCAGCTAGCGATATAGCAATTAGGAAAAAATCTGGAGATTACTATTTTCCAGCTGTTACCCAGGTGGAATGGGTCCAAATTTCCAGCTGGATTCCAGCTGAAATTATAACTGTTTCCAGCAGGGGTCTGACTGAGTGGGTTCTGGGTCATAATCCTTGGGCACTGACTGACATCACCTCAGGAGTTACAGTTCTTGGGATACTACACTCTGAGAAAGGAACACCTTCAAGTACTGCCTGCTGGAAGGAGGCTTAATTTTTTTTGTTATGAAGAGAAATAATGAGCTAAGTTGTAGTCTTTAAATTTGGTGGAATATTGAGTTGTTTTATTTCTCTAAAATCAGCCCCTAATATAGTGGGTCTGCATATATGGAATACCACAGCTGCTACTGGCAATGGAAGATTCTTAGCACTATCATGGATTAATGGCCTTCGGCAAATAGAATGTTGATTAAGAAGTTCCTTGAGACTCAGCAGGGAAACTTAACCAACTTACTTGAGTGGTTCATTTGGGACTATTTCAATGAAAATGATTGAATGAAATTTAAAAATATGTTGAAATGAAATGAAAAAATGAAATGTTCAAGAGGAAGGGAAACCTCATCAGGAAAAATGACTTGATTTTAATTCTATATGATGAGTGATAAATCTCCTTCCAGCACACAGTGCTCAAAACATCCTGAAATTTGAGGGGATAATTTTTTTGAAACACCAGTAGGTATATGAGGGGTGTTCAGAAAGTTTGTGGCCTAAGAGAAAAGACTTGGTCAATTTTCAAGTGTTAATTTTTTTATTTTCTCCCCATCATCTTTCTTGTATCCTTGAATTCCTTTCGAAAAAATGCAAATCCTTGGGAAACATTTTCACAGCAGTCTTCACCTCATCATCAATGCTCTTGTGGTCTCCACTGAAAGCCTTCTTGGAGCTGGTGAACATATGAAAGTCACTTTTCACTGTTGCCCAAGTACATATTCAGGCTTGTGTAGTGGTAGCCTGAGCATGTTGGGCTCTGACCATTCACCTTTTCAAGGTTATTTCACCATTATTTATGCATGTAACCACTCTCTTCATTAGTTTTCGTATGACTTTTTTATTATTAAAACCAATGTTTTCCGGTAAACAGTCTCAAATTTTATAACAGAATGGAGATGTTGAATATTTTTGCGCATATCAGTGAAGGGGTTAACACAAGGTCTGATATATGAGGTAGGTGAGGGATCAGTGACTCCAATTAAGGTACTGTGTGTAGGGTCATTGCAATGGTGCTATCAAGGGAGATTGCAGAGTGTTTATGAACCTCCCTCTTTACCTGACAAATTCCTTTTTATATCTGATGAGACTGATTATGGCCAACAGGACAAAATGTCCCACAAATATATTCAGTTGTCATCCTCATCACTCATCCCCCTACTGTTCTGCATGGAGTGACATGGCTCCCTGAAGGTACTCCTATATTCAGAACTGAATCCAATCTATCTTATTATAGACCTCTCAAGAACTTCCCAATGAACATCCCAATACCAATGAGTTTACCTGACATTTTGATTTCCAATGACTTAAGAAATAAGAGGTCTGATTGAAATTACTTGGATCTGGTGCATGCCTTAACATAGGAATGCTTGCCCATCTGTGGGTCATGTGCCATGTAATTATAATTCCAGAGTAGGCCCATTAGTCCAAATTTTGGTTTTTTGAGTGCGAACTGGAAACTTCTCCTTTGGCTAGGACTGCTGTTTGTCATAATGTAATTTTCTTTTGGTGGGTTCTGGAAGAGTAGGAAGGTGAGTGATAATATCTTCAGAATTTGTTCAAGAATGCATACCCTCCTACCAGATTTGGTATTGTGTTCATACCATGTTGATCATATATAGTGGTATCCAGGTGTATGCCAATGTAAATTGACAGGAATTGTTGGGGTAAGTCTAAACTTGACTGAGAAACTGAAATTTGTTTGGAGCATGTGAACGTTAGAACTGATTATGTATTGACCTGTTCATTCCTTGAAACAGTCGAGCAGCAGTGGTTCGGGGAAGAGTGGTGATGGAAGGAGGAACTGGAGTCCCTGGTGTTCGAGTTAGTTCATCTGACCCTAAAGAGGGCTTCACTCTTACTCGTCAAGGAGGCTGGTTTGACTTCCTTGTCAATGGAGGTGGTTCCATCACACTTCAATTTGGGAGAGCTCCATTTCGTGCTCGCTATCGAACTCTTCTTGTTCCCTGGAACCAGGTCATCCTAAGTCTTATTTTTGAACCCTCCTCCCAATATAACAAGATATTTGAAAAGAATGGTTATAAGTGTCTGTTGGGGTGTGCAGGTCGTCCTGGTTGAAGATGTCATCATGTCCAAAGAGGAAGAAGTGGAAGTGGGAGAAAGCGAAGGAACAACAAAGGGTCGACCATCTATTCCATGTGTTCCACATGACCATGATGCCATGAGACCATTGGTCTTCCCTGCATGGAAGCATTCTTTTGTTGGGGGTTGCCCTGAAATGCCAGGAATCTTGACAGAATCCCAAGTATTGCTCGAGAGCCTCCCCATCCCTGGCTCAGGAATACATTTGCTGTACCTGAGTAGCCGAGCTAGGGGTTTTGCCTCCACACTTCAGCTTCGCCTCACTCCTGATTCAGTTCCCTCGTTGCTCCGACGTGTTCACCTTCGCATATCCATTGAAGGCAGCCAGTTCTCAAAAGTGTTTGAGGCTGATCCCAACATAAAGTTCACATTTGCCTGGGACAAATATAATGTCTACAGGTGAGATCTTTTCCTGATTTTTTGCAAAAAATCTTGATGAGGAAGCTATTTTTATCTTGGAAAAGGGGATAGGAAGTTCTGAGTTTTACTGTGCTTTGTAATGTTAAATTTGACAGATTGGGAAAAGAGATGCTACTTTGTTTCAAGTTTGGATTGACTTAATTTGACAGGGTAAATAGAATGCCTCTGGGTTGATGTGAGGAAAACCAATCCTCTTTGGAGTCTTATACCTATTGTTTGCAGGAAGATGACTTAAATAGTCATACTGTCAAAAGTCTGAAAACAACTTGGATATGCTTTTTTTCCCAGAAAAGTATTGGTAAAAGGAGATTTGCAATACTGGAATATTCCAACTGCAGAAGGATGCAATAATTTTGATTTTTTGGAAGCAGTTGGTAATGCAGACTTGTAGCAATTAGTCAAGTCTCTGAGTCTTCCTCTGCCCAGAGTCTAGTCATGACGTACCATTTGCACATCGAGATAATCTAGTGGTTGATCTTGAAACTTAGGAATCAATAAGAAATTCTAATGGTAATGTATGGATGAGTGAATACGGAGGAAAACTTGATAGGAGTTAGAAAACTTGGGATAGCTAGAATTTTTTATGCTGAAGAAGCAGAGCTTCTAAACTAAAAGTCATTTGAAGTAAATTGGGGTATACATTTGCATCCATGTGACATTTGCAGTTACTGGTGAAAGTTCAAATGTGTGCAAACCATGTTGGCCAATATTATATAAGGCTCACCCCAAGAGTAATGGATCTGGATCAGATTTTGTCAACTGTAAACTCCTGATGGCACAAGCTCAAGAATTAAAAATGCATATGCAGATATTTTCAAATGTTCTCACATTTCTTGCTTAGTTTCATGATTCTTACCCAGAAGGCTTTGCCACAATTTAAAGCCATGGATTGTGATGATGCTTGTCACAGGCAGAGAGCAGCAGTTGAATTCTTTATGAATGAAGTGATAGACAGTCATTATTGTTTTGAGAAGGTTCAATTTACTTATCCTGTGATGCAAAATACTCATGTCAATTCTGGCATCACCATGAAAAAGGATTCACACAATGATGATTGGTTATCAGTAGTACTCCTTCACATGTAGGGAACTTATTTGCTGCTCTCTGGTTGCAGCAGATATCATCACACTCCACCATTTTGAATCCCCGCAGTAATTGAACTTTCTAGATATGAATCACAAAACTTGACAAGGAATAAGAAGATGCTTTGAAAGTATTTTCATGTGTGTTTTTGAGACCAGTAGTTTTTTTTTTTTACAAATTTGGAGGCATTACTTTTCGAGTGACCCATATACAGGGTGGGCCAAAAAAAAACGCCCCAAATTTGAAGTTTAATAACTTGGGCCCTGTTGGGCTAATATCAATTTTTAAAAAAGCAAAATGAAGCTTGTTCAATTTTCTTTCAAATGATATATCATTTTGGGGGGTTTGCTTCAGAGAAATGACCGTTATTACAGTTTGAAAAAAAGTGACAAAAAAATTTCCTGAAAATGGGCTTTTACTCCAAGTTCCTTTTCCTCAACCTTGAATTTATCACTCACACGCACACAGACCTTTTTAATGACCCAAAAATGGTTCAATGTGTCCTCCTCCACAATCTACAACAGCCTCATGTTACTCGCCTCATGATCGCATGATCTCTCGTCAACCAATCCGTATCATGCAGGGGCGCGAGGGAGAAACAGCTGACAGCAGCAGCGCAGCATTGGAAAGAACTCAGGAAAGCTGTTTTCAGGAAAAATTTTCGGCACTTTTTTTTAAACTGTCATAACAGCCATTTCTCTGAAGCAAACCCCCCCAAAATTATATATCATTCGAAAGAAAATTGAACAAGCTTCATTTTGCTGTTTTAAAAACTGATATTGGCCCAACAGAGTCCAAGTTATTAAGCTTCAAATTTGGGGTGGTTTTTTTTGGCCCACCCTGTATATGGGTTACAAAAAAGTGGAAACGTGAAGAGTTGTTAAAGAAAAGGTACCTATAGGGCAATTTGAAAAAAAAAATGCAATGAAACGATAACTTCCAACCAAAAGTAAAGCTATATCTAATAGGTATGTAAGGAAATAAAATGACCCTATGGTGTTCAATATAGAGATCAGGTATTTTTGTGGAGGACTAGCAGAAAGATGCCATAAAATGGACGTTTGGCCACTATCTGATATGCCAATATTAAGATCCTTAACCCCATAAGTGGGGAGTTTCTTGGACAGAAGTCTACTAGTGAAGTCAGAATTTTTTTTGTGAAAGTAAGAATAAATGTTTTTGTAAGAAGTGTACTACTCTTTCTAGAGTTTATACTTCAGCAAGTGTTCATCTTTATCTATGCAACTGAGAGACTTCAAAAGTTTACAAGAAAAACAGAAAAGTTCTAGCATTTCTGCATTAGCTTTTAATAAAGCCTTGAACTTGGAGCTTTTTTTATTAACCACTTGGTACTTATAATATTTTTTGTAATAAATTTTTATATCTCTCATACCTTACCTTCTCTATTGTACCTCCATTGTTCTTCCTGCAGGCAACGGGTGTATGGAGTGACGAGTGCTATTGTCCATGTTGGCTATGAATATGAAGACTGTAGCTTTGTGATCTGGCATGTTCAGAGCACCCACCTATTGGGCCATGACATGACAATCTCAGATATTGGAGGATGGAATCTGCATATCCATCATCATTACAACTTTCATCAAGGTAAATTATGATTCTTCCTCATTATTGATTGGCCTGACAGTTAGTGGAGTGTTAATTCTTTTTCATGAAGATATTTAGATATCTAGCAGATATAAAATATCAGGACTAAGTTTGAGCAAGAAAATAGCATGTTCATGAACAAATAGTTCAAGTTTCTTACATTTCCTGCTGGTCATTCTGTGACTAGCTCAGGGGTGTCAAACTTGCAGCCCACAGGCTGGATCCGGCCCACCTGTCCATTTTATCTGACCCATGAAGTCCTCTTCAATAGTCTATTATGGAAAAGTAGTACACATTTCAGCCTGTTTGCATTGAAGATTGGGTGTTAGGTTTTTATTGTGGCCCCTAATCACCTCAGGAGGCATCCATCCAGCCCCCATCCTAATCAAGTTTGACACCCCTGCTGTAGCTCTTACTGTGACTACCAAGAGGGAAGGCATTTCTGGGTCTCTTACTGAATTGATAAATAGTTTAGCATCTGTAGACATGAAACCATTTACCCTGTGGTTCCATCAATTTGTGTTTAAAGGAGTTGTCGAGAGGGGTGATGGAAAGAGCATGTATCTGAGTGAGGAAGCCTATCATTTGAATACCCTTGTGGGTACTGGAAGCAGGCGGCAATTGATCTGCACCCCAGAAGATTGTGATGTTGCCAGTACCAAGGCTGCTCTCTTGGCTCCCATGGCCTTGGCCTCAGGCCCTGATGGTTCCCTCTACATTGGAGACTTCAATCTTATTCGTGCTAGACTTCCTTCTGGTCAACTGTCTACCCTGTTCTCCCTCAAGTGAGTTGATTCTCATTGCATCTGAATAATATTCAATCCACATGTATAATCCTCAGCTTTCCTTCTTCTCCATCTTGACAGCACTTCTAGCGTGAGCTATCGATACTACATGGGAGTGAATCCTGTCTCAGGGCTTCTGTATGTGAGCATTCCAGAAAATCACCAGATCATTAGGGTTGACCCAATCACTAAGAAGTGGGACATTGTTGTCGGCAATGGAGAGGAGTGTCTTCCAGGAGACGAAAGTCAGTGTGGAGATGGCTCACGTGCTCGAGATGCCAAACTCATATATCCCAAAGGTTTGGTTTTATTTCGCTCTAGTATAGACATGAACACATGGATCTCAAGGTTCAGTAATTACTGGACAGCAAGCATTTAATAGACATATTAAACTTCATTGTACAAGGTATCATCATGGTGGATCAAAGGTCTTGCATTCTTTATCATTGAAAACTTACATCCCCACTACTCTCTCCTGTTTCCTCTTCCTCACCACCACATGAATTATGACCATATGAGCCTTCATGTGGCTGTGGGTATAAACTCCTGTCCATCCTTTTAGCATTCAAGGACATGTTTGACTTGGGGCTTTAAAATGTCAGTGACTATTCATTTCTCATCTGCCCTTTAGATCTTTTTGAATGACCCTTCTCTCTCTCCCAGACCAGATACTAAGCATTTATTTGAATCATTTTTATTAGGCATTGCATTTACTTCACATGGAACCATGTATGTGGCTGATGGAACCAATATTCGTGTTGTGGATCAAGATGGACTCATCAATACATTGATAGGAAGTCAACATCATCGAGGACATTGGGAACCTTTTCCATGTTCTGGTTCCATTCCTATTCATGAGGTGAGGTCGAAAGGAAGAAACTTGCCTAGAAAGACAATGGTAGCTAATGACATTCAATTAATGTATTACTATTATGGCTTTCTTTCCATTAAGGTCTCATTGAGATGGCCAACTGCTATGGCAGTGAATCCTTTGGATGATACATTATACTTCATTGATGACAATCTCATCCTTCGTGTCACACGTGACTTTCAAGTACGTATGGTTGCAGGACAGGGACTTCACTGTCCTCGAAAGACCCAGGTTAGCATTAAGCTCCTTGAAATATGTAGTAAATTGAGAATTTGTAAATCCTCTGTGCACTCCATATTTTCTGGTTTTTTTGCAGGGTTACTCTCCTGATGTTGCAGCCCAGGCTTTTCTCACATCCCCACAATCACTAGCATTCTCTCAGAATGGGAATCTTTATGTAGCTGAGAGTAACAGTGAACGTGTGAACCGAGTACGACTAATTCAATCTGATGGGACCATCCATCGATTTGCTGGTGCAGATTCCAAATGCAATTGCCTTGAACCAGATTGTCAATGCTTTGTTGAAGCTGAAAGAGCCACAGCTGGGAGGTTTGGCACTATTTCATCCCTGGCAGTGTCTCCAGATGGTGTTGTTCACATTGCTGACCAAGGAAATCTGAGGATTCGCTCTGTGCATGCGCAGTTGCCTACTCTTGATGAAGATTTCATGTATCGCGTACCCTCTCCATCAACCAAGGAGATGTTTGTCTTCAATCGCTTTGGTCAGCATGTTGCTACTCGTGACCTCATCACTGGCCAAGAAATTTATACCTTTTTATACACTGTAAACACCAGCAATGGAAAGCTAAGTGGTGTGACTGATGCCTCTGGCCGCAAGATTTCCATCCTTAGAGATTACAAGAACGATGTGAATGCCATTGAAAACTTCCAGAATGAGAAATGTCACTTGGAAATGTCTCGATTGAAGCAGCTAGCTTACTTCAGTTCTCCAGAACACCACAACATCACCTTCACTTATCAAGGCGCCATGGGTCTCTTGACAAGTCGCCTGGACAACCTGGAAATTTCTTTCAAGTATTCCTATGATATTCATGGAAGGCTGATATCAGCAGTCTTGCCAACAGGGGATGTGGTGGAGCTGGCTTTCAACCTGGATGCACGTGGAGCCAGTGTTCTAATGACACAAAACACTGACTTCCCTGTCTCATTCTTCATTCAGACCTCTACTGTTCGAACTATGATTGGTAAGTGGACTGTGTTGCTTTTGGACTGTAGCCCATTGCAATCTCTGTCCTCCATAAAATCTAGTTTCCTTTTCATGGGTGTACAATAATGAATTGGAATGCTCATCAGGAAAAAAAAAGTTCACCATGAGGTAAGAACAAAGCAAACTCTTCATAAAATCAGCTCCCTTCTTTTTTAGGAGAGTCCCAGAGTTATGTGTCTCTGAAGGAAGATGGCCGAGGGATTTGGAGCCTTCCCTGGGATCATCGTATAACCCTCGATCCATTCCCTGGGCAGCTGAGTCTGGAAGTTGCTGGGGAGTTGGTCAATCAAGTCACATGGCACTACAACAAAGTAAAAAATAAGGGTGAAAGCCGTTTTCTTGAGGACTCTTCTTCTTGGTCTGGGATCTTCCAGAAATCCATGTGGGTCAATGGCCAGGAAATCCTCAGCATGGAATATTCCCCTAAAGATCGAATCCAAGCTGTTGTTGCCAAAAAGAGAGGGCAGCTTCTGAACATCACTTATGATACCCTTGGACGGCCCATTCGCTGGGATGCTCCAGCTGGACTTGCCCCGTGTTTGGTCAAGTACGACCAGTATGGAAGATTGATAATGCTGGAATGGGGCCGAATTCTTTATAGGTATGTCTATGATACTCAGGGTCGCATTAAGGAAGTGCACCACAATGGCCTCCTCCAAGTCACCTTCTCCTATCCTCCAACTTCATCAAGAAAGGTAAAAACTTACACTAATCCCATCTCCTAATCTTTTTTCTCCTACATCCTTCAACTTTCTCATATAAGGCATATTTTTATATCAAGACAATATGTACCTGCTTGTTTCAGCCTCAGAAGATTCAATATGCAGGAGGAGAGGAGTACCAAATGGGGTATGATACAGTTGGAGGATTATCAGCTATCACAACACCTCGTGGAACTCGTCATCACTTTTCTCTTCATCCTACGTTTGGCTCTTATACCCTCCTCTATGTCACACCCTCTTCTCCATCTCCCTATGCACTCTCTGTGTCATCTTTTGGCCAAATACTTAAGTCCTCAGGACCTGGGCATTTGGCGAGGGTGTATTATGGATATGGAGAAGATGGACTCTTGTCAGAAGAACTCTTTGGACGAGCATCGATCACGTACACATACAGTAAATCCAGGCGGCTCCTTCGCAGTGTACGAATCACATCCATTGAAGATTGGCTTCAGCAGATTGATTACATATATCATGGAGGCTTATTGAAGCAGGAACAAATAGAGTTTGTGTCAACATCTCAAGGATCTACCTTACGGGCAATTGTCAAGTATCAATATGATGGAAATGCTCGATTGTCAAAGGTAGAGATCCAGATCAACGGTCAAGAGAAAGAAGCCAAGCGCTTTCACACATCTCCTTGGGATGCAAGAGTGGAACGTATAGATCACTTGGAGATATCATATCCAAGTGAAAATAAAGTTCTCCTTACCCTAGAAGAAGATTCCTTTACAGGGATCTACATCAGTGGTGAAGAAGGGTATCTCGAGGAGAAAGTCTTCACCTGGAGGCATGGGGATATTTGGAGCTTAAAGGTCAACTCAAATGCCATGGGGAAAGTGGTTGATACTCTTGTTACAGTTGGTAACAAAGGTATTTCAACTCGGACTTATGCATACAATGCCAATGGACAACTGTCAGAAGCAACTGTTGGTGATCGTTCATTTGCCTATGGTTATGATGAAAATGGAAACCTTGTGAGAATCAAGGAAGAAGAGGCAGAAGTGAAGCTCACCTATGATCAAGCTGATCGCTTGGCTTCATATGATGGGAGATCTTGGAATGAATATGATGAGGATGGGCGAACAGTTCATTCCCATGCTGGAGAGTTGGCTTTTATTTATGATGCTAAGTCTCAACTTATAGAAGTGTACAAGGAGGATGCATTTAGAATTTCGTATGCATATGATCATCTGGGGCGTTTGGTGAAAAGATGGGACCATCAAGGGCATTCTACAATATTCTTCTACACAGATCCTAGTGAAAAGTCAAGAGTGACTTTTGTACATTTCCCAGAGAAATCTCAGACTCTATCTCTCACCTATGATCATCATGGTCATTTGGTGGTCATGGAAAGAAGTACATGGCAAAAACCTAGACAACGGTTTTATGTTGCCACAGATCACGTTGGTTCCCCTTTGGTTGTTTTCAGCAAGGATGGGCAAGTGGTGAAGACCATTGAACGAACGCCATTTGGAAAAATCTTGAATGATTCAAATCCTGATTTGTACCTCCCTGTGGATTTCTCAGGGGGAATTTGTGATCCCCAGACTGGCCTCATACACTTCAGTTCCCAGGTTTATGATTCCTGGAGTGCCCAGTACTTAAATCCTTCTTGGATGAAGATGTTCGTACATCTAACTAGTCCTCTTCAACTATTTATTTATCGCTTCCGGGACAATGACCCAATATCGCCCAAAGTGGCCTCTGCTCCATTAACCATGTCAGGTGAGTGAATTTCATAAGGGTTCTTTTAGCACCACGATTAAATGGAAAGGAATCTTTTACCGTTTCTTTTGGCATTACAGGTGACTTGGTTTCCTGGCTTTCTGAGCTGGGTTATGATTTGGAAACTCTTTTGGGAAGCTGGCACATGGAGAAGGAGCGCCTTGACAGGGGAGGAGTAAGAAGCTCCTCTCTTTCCTCCAGCATAATTCAGCTAAGGAGTCCTTTCAAATTGATATCTGGGCTGGAGTGTGATATCCATGCAAGCATTCAGTCCTTCCAGGACTTGAGTCTCCTCACAAGAGGTGAAATGATGCAAGGGTCAAAGAGCATCCTGCCTCACCTGGGTCAACATCTGGCATCTCGAGTTCCTCCATTTGGACGTGGGATCTTGATGTCCCGATCCCGCATTGACGGTCGTGCCGTCGTGCAGTCTGTCACTGGTGCTAATCCAATACTCCTGGACGTCATCACATCCGTGTTCAATGATTCCCACCCTCTGGACTTACAGTTCCTAGACGGAACTCAAGAGAAGTTTTATTTCGTGAAGACTGGTCCTGCACAAAGGAACAATGATGTGGAGCAACTCCGAAGACTTGCTCGATTCTTCAATGTGTCCACGGAGGGAAAAGTGATTCGTTTGTACAATTGGGACACAGACATCCGTATCCATTATGGCCCGTCTGTGGAGGAGGTCCAGAAGGAACTTCTAGCTGGGATACAGACTGAGACAATCCAGAAAGCTTGGTTGTTTGAGCGCAGTCTTGTGGACAGAGGATTTGTTCACAAATGGAGTCCTGAGGAAGTCCAGGAGCTCTTGAATACTGGTGTTGTGCGAGGTTATCGAGGTGTACTGTCACACTCGAGACCAGACATGAGTGGAGACCCAGCCAATGTCGTGTGGGAAAGGACCTGACCTGTGTTCCAAGACCTCTCACTCTCCCAAGCCCCAATGTAGCTTTCAATATGCAACCAACTTAGTCCTACAGGACTTCACTCTTCCTACCCTTGTGATATTGTGTCCCAGAATCAAGATGGGACAAAATAAGATTTCCAGTGCTTGATGAACCAGTGATCAGCAGCTGCAAGGAAGGTGAATCCTGTTCTCTCATTTTCTCCACAAAAGGTTCATAACTTGTGTGGATTTGTAAGGATTGTTCCAAGATGTCATCCAGTTTTCCACAGTCTCAAACTGGTGTCACTTGGTGACCTTTGTTATTGAAAATTAGCTAGTGTACTCTAGTGGGAGAAAGCCCGAGATGTGATGTCTAAAGACCGGCCCTTCTACAAGAGCTGAAACAGACCGCCTGCCAAAGTCAATCAGAGCCCTGCTAACTTCCATCGCATTACTGAAAGAGCGCATTACTGAAAGAGAGCTCATACTGTGACAGGCAGTAACCACTGTGATACTACAGGGTGAATTGGCGTGCTTTATCTTGGAGGCAGAGAAAGTGTCTGTTCTGGAGTTCAGTCTTGTCAGACATGTCGTACTCGATCATCTGCAGGATGACAGGCCGAAATGGACTTGTTCAACTTTTCTCTATCTCCCTCTCCTCAGATGTTGAGGTGTCTGGCTCGGGACGACCAGTTGTTCCATGGCAATAACCTGGGAGTACGCTTACCAAGTGATGGCTTGTGATCTCATTTTTGTTCGTTTTTTTTATCGTCTCCCTCCCCAGTCTTTTCTCTACATGTCTTTTGATGGAACTGTCCCCCATTGGTTTGTGAAAATGGTGCGATTGTGCAGGGACCTATAGGCGTTGCGTGCCTTCATCTGACTCCGACTTTGACTGTATGCTTTACTCATTCCCCAAGTGCATGTTTCTTATCTTCCAACATCACATGGAATCGTGAAATAAAGAGATATTCCAATGCATATATTTGAATCTTACTTGATCGGAGTTCCCGTAGAAGTGGGACATTTGAGAGAAGGCCCTTCCGTTGACTGGCTTGATAATCAATCTCATCGCCTACTCAATTCAGCTATCTACTGTAGCTCCTCTACGTCGTCTTAGAATGGAACAAATGGTGCAGCGATGTGATGACGCAAAGTCGTTGCTTTTACCATGACATCCCTCTATCGTATACCGGAGAGGGTATTTTTCAAGTTCAGGTTATTTCGCAGGTATCAGATCCCTTCACGTTGGCTGGATATTAATATCAAATTAATTTTATGCTCATGTTCTTGTAGGGAAAGTTTTGTGCAGAGTTACAAAAACGTTTTCAATGAAATCGCTGCCAGAAAGTTTCAAAATTCCAGCAGAGCCTCTGTGGAGCTCATTTACGAGAATACGAGAATACTCACCTTTTGTTTTGTCTAAGTACAGAAGCCCAGATCAATGGTTTTTTTTATTAAGATTTTGTGAACGTTTCTTGGATCCAATAAATCTTAGAGATTTAGTATCTCTCTAATGACCTACTGATACTCTGCCGCTGTAACTTTGGCGTAAAAAGCCATAGGCGTGCTTCTAGAACCATATTCAGAAAATTTCCTTTGAAGGCTGGGACTGTTAGCAGTCTTTAAGTGACGACTCTACACAGCGTCTCAAAAAGATGTAAATCAGTTTATTTCTTGGAACCCCTCCATCCAAAATCATTCGAGCCTTATATTTTCTGCGTATGACATCTCGGACGAAGAAGAAAGATTCTGAAACGTAATTTTAAAAGTTTTACTCCGTACTTCAAATACAACATTCCAAATTTGAAGTGTGGTAAATTGCAGTGGAGGAGCAATCTCCCCGCTGCTACTTGCCAGTTACGTCATTTTTGCGGGCTTAAACGCATCTAAGCGAAGACGACAGGTAGTCCCAATGTCGAAATTTATTTATTTTTTATGAATTCCCCTTATCATGTGTTAATGCGTATGCTTTGCATTTATCAAATTAAAGGGTGCCAGTTCATTCAACCAGATGCTTCTTTTCTTCATTAAATCTCATGCTGTTCTTACGTTCAGGAACGTAGCCGGGGAAGGGGGGGGGGGAAGTGTGCTCTGAGAGAGTCTGGTCACCCCAGAAATGAACCAAGATTTAATAAAACAAGGAGTACGGAAGAGGGGGGGGGGGGGGGAGCGTAAAAGTTCCAAGATTTTCATTCGTAAGTCTGAACTTCAAACATTTATTCCTATTCCACCTCTTCAATTTAATCACTCTTAACCACTACAATGCATTGCTTCCATAGCTCCACCGATATTTAATCCTAACAGCAAACCATTATTTGGGCGTAGCCTTCACGCAATGACTTATGACCGATGTAAGATCACCCTTTGACTTATATCTCTTTCCATGCAATAAATTTCGAAAATTTATTGCATGGAAAGGGGCAATTCTGAACTGTGATGTGGGTGGAGTTGAACCCAGCCAAGGTCATGGGTTGCCCAGACGGGCAGTTTGGGTGTGGGATTCCCCTGCTGCAGCACCAAATCCTTGGATGAGGCCACCCTCTTTTCAATGTGGCTTATTTCAGCTTGCTCTTCGACAGCTGGTAACCATTACAATGCATTATAGTACTCATTTCTTGCTATGATTCAAGGACTGTCCTTCTGCAAGCCAGTGGGTGAAAGTCATTCCTGAAGAATGGTTTTGCCGCTGGAATTCTTAATCCGGTGAAATGATGGAACAAGTATTGGTTAAAAGTAGGGCTGTACCGATGTATCGGCTAACACCGGTATCGGCCGCCGGTTTTGCACTGTCGACGCCATCGGCCATCGGTCGGTTTGCAAGCTGCTGATGCCGATGTTTAAAGGAGAGGCAAAACTGACGAAAAAAATAATAAGAGCGATCGTGTGAACCCGAAAAATATCGATCAGATTATATTTCAGCTCTATTCTAAGTACTGGCAGAGAAAAATAGCGGTAAAGAACGGGAAATCATAGTCCCTCCTCTTATGTTATGCATTTGTTAGACATGTGTCGCTACGCGTTCTTAACAGCAGCAGTAGCTAACAAGCTAACCTCTGACGGACACAGACAGTACTAAATATTGCTTCTATCGTTTTTAGGGGGTCCCCTGAGAAGTATCACATGGTTTTCAAGTAGGTCTACATGAATTCATGTGCATTTTCATGTTACTTCTCGATTTTCAGACACCAATCGACACTGGCACCGGCCGATGGTTATGAGATGAAAATCGGCCATCGGCCCACTGGCCAAAGGTGGCCATTGGTACAGCCCTAATTAAAAGTGTCACGAGCAGCGTTGACGATTATTTGATCTGGAATTACGAACACAGGCCTCTCTCGCATGAGATGTTCTCTTCGATGATGCCTTGCCACCACGAGGCAGGGAGAAACCGTTTAGGGTGCCCGTAAAGCACTTGAGTGA